TTTTCAATCCAAATTAATATAAATGTTGTTCGTAAAATATGTTTGTGTAACTTGTCCTCAAGTTATATGAAAAGTCACATTTACGATTTATAAAAACCTCATAAGATTTCCGTAAGTTATAAAAAAGGAAGAGTCTCATTTTTAAATGCTTTTAAAGTCTTCCATAACTTGTCCTCAAGTAATGGAACTCGAAGAGTTTTTCATTAAAACTACTTTAAACTCATAAGATATGAAATTGAAAAGTTTTTGAATAGTTCAAAACTTGCCCTCAAGTTTTGTAATTTGTAAAGTTTCCTCTCATGAATACTTTAATTCCAAATTAAACTCATAGAATTTTAAAAGTTAAAACTCAACTCTTATACTCTATAATATTATAAGTTAATAATATATATATATATATATATATATATATATATATATATATATATATATATATATATATATATATATATATAAGAACAATTCGTTTTACCATTAGTAGGCCTCATTCACGAAGCCATTCTATAAGGGGGGGGGGGGGTATAAGGTTGCTGCCTATAAAATGACAGTTTAAAGGGTGTCCACTCTTACCCACCACTTCCTTGACCGGTGGAGGGTCGTTAGCTGAACGGGTAGGACAAAGACTATAATTCTCCCTTCATTATAAGTATAATGATAAATATAAAGTAACTAAACCTCTTATAAATTCCTAATCTTAGTTACTTTAGGAAAATGTGACTTTGGTGCTAATCCATGAAATTACACTTTGCACTTTGCTTAAGTCGTTAGTGGAGCGTGTGTGGTTTACCGGCACACTAACTTGTACTTAACAAGGTAGGCAAATGGTAACTTAATGTTTATCACAGGATCAATGGAGCGTGTGTGGTTAACCGACACATCGATTAAGTGATAAATATTAAGGGTACCAAGTATATTTGCATGGTTATTCACACCTTGTTTGTGATCCTCGGCATCCTAGTCACAAACTCGAGAGGGCGCAATAAAGATTGAAACATGCGATTGAAAAGTTCAATGAATCTCAAAAGAATCTAGGAGTTTCAAAAACTAATTAAAACCAAATAATACATTTTGTTTATCATGGTGGAAATTGGTGAATCGTCATTCACCTACCTTCAAATATTTTATAGCTTGGATTACAACATCCTTCTTCCGTGTTATAAAATAGTTTGTTGGGTCCTAGCCTTAATATTTCATATTAGGTGACCTATTAAGGACTTAAATAAACTAACGTGAATTTCTCCCATTGTAGATGTTTGGTTTAGACAACAATGATCTTCCCAAATCTCATGGAACAAACTTTCCTAATGAAGATGATTTCCCGAGTTTGGCTGTTGGAAATCATATTTCTCTTCCTCCACATCCTCCAATTATCCTCCCTGACCCACAAGCTCAAAGACTTGAAAAGTTCAAGATCACTCAATCCCTACTCACAATGAAGCATAAAGATGGAAGTCATGTGTGCACTCATGTCTTAGATATGAAGTCACATATTGACAGGTTTAGAATGTTGGGTGTCGTTTTCCTAAGGAAGTTGGATATTGACTGGTTCCTTCAGTCTCTTCCTAAGTCATATAGTAAGTTTATTAAAGACTACTATGTGATAGATCACGACATGACCCTAATAGATCTTTCTTATTTGCTTATTGTAGCTGAATCAGAAATGATTTGGCGCAATAGTCAGCAAATATGGATGGAAGGTCTATTTCTCAAACTTTCATGGGCATTGACAATAATCACACTGGACGTCCAGAAAAGCTTTCTCTTCCCAATGGAAAGGGCTCGACCTTTATCAACCTGGTTGACCGGAAGGTAAAGTGAAAGTCTAAGTTTGGGATAGCCTTTTGTACCATTCCCGAAGACTCTATATGTTTTCATTGTGAAGAAAAGGGGCATTAGAAGCGAAGCTGCCCTAGCTACCTGAAGGATCTGCAAGAAAGAAGAATCAAGAAGTTTGACATTGCTTCAGGGAAGTCCATTATCTATCTCTGTTATGTTCCTAGTTGATGATTCTTAATACAAAATGTGACTCTGTTGCATTTTGATGTTTGGCAGGATCAAGCGAAGGGAAGGAAAGTTAAAGAAAGAGTATGCTGAATCTGATCGCGAAGATGGATTTCTATCGTAGGGTGGAAGATCGGATTTTTGAGCTACTACTTAGGAGTTATGATAGAATGCTAAGAAACATGTAATAGCATAGTTTTCCTTTAAAGTTGCATTGTAAGGAAAAGTTTTCCGCATTTTATAAATAAATAAAATTTTGTTTTACTTTATTTTATATCTCCTTGCAAAGGCATTTATGAAAACTTGATGTTTGTATGTTTCTAGCAATATTCGAAATATGAATTTTTTTAGTTCGTTTGTGGTAGTGTCTAAATTTACCAAATAAGGAAAGATTCTCATCCCCAAGTTTCAATTGGATCGAAACTTGGAATCATGCAAGTTGGTATAGTATGATGAATGAAAATTTTCATTTTTGGAAAATTAAGACTAGTTCCTTGTTCACATGTATATGTGAGTCAAGTGAAGGACTAAGGGAAGAAGTACACATTCTTGTGCACTAGTCAGAGTCCACCACAAAAGATCGATAAGACTATTCTTCATGATTTACTAAAGTTTACTAAATATGGTTATACTTACAAGCTTGAGTATGAGTCTGAGACATTGGAAAAGTTCCAATGTATGGCATAACGAATAAGAAGAATCAAATTAGGCAGAAAGATAGAAGTTTCTCAAATCTCAAAAGATAGGAGAGTACTTTAGTATCATGTTTTATGATCATATTAAAGATTATGAGACCATATGACAATTCATCCTCTAAATGCATTCTGGTAGCTAAGAAAAAGAGTCATGAGTTGTTGAAGTGGTCAAATCAAGAAGATGAGTCATACTTCGTTCCAAAACAAATCTTAGAGTCATACTCCAAGATTGTAATTTGAGTGACATGTCTTAAAGAAGGTTTATAACACTTGTCAAATGTAAGAGTAAAATGTGTTCTATTCTTGTACATTTGAAATTGGTAAGTTGTGATGTTTTGGATAAAACAAAGAAAAACTAAGGCCAATTATGTGTAGTGATTGTCTTGATTAAGAATCCACACTATCTCTTGAATATTTGGCAAGGACGTCTTATAGGTTAAGAAGACAGTGGGAGTCTAAAAGATCGTGAAATAGTTTCAAGAACTTATCAAGAATAAAACTTGTAATTCATCACCAGCACACGACTAGAGGTTTATAACATGTCGTGTTGACACATTCTTATTTCTGTGCCCATTCCTGTTAAAGTTAGCTATACATTTGAGTTCAACATATACTCAGTTTTTTGCATATCTACTTGGAAGAAATGGCAGGCCCTTGTACTTCCAGGTGGCA